TTTCACAATTGCTAAATTGCTTAAAATATAAATTGAATGACACAATTTAACAATGTGAAATAATTTATTTATTACTTAATTTCTACCTTAACAGTTATAAAAAGTAGTGAATAAGTTTCTTTGAAAAAATATTATATTTATTATAATTATTATAATAGTAATTATTATATATTATTATTAATATTTGAAGATGGTGCGGAATTGCGTAATGGGATGTAAGCTACCTAAGGGAATGTATGAATTTCCTAAAAATGACGAAAGAAGGTAAAAAAACCATTATTTATTAATTGTGGATTTAAAATATATGTTTTGTGTTTAATGTGCTTTGTTTGTTTTGATGTGTATAAATACAAATTAGTGAAGCAAAAATATATGTGAGTATATATTTAATAGATTTTAATAAAGTTGTCTTATGTGTTAATTTGTGTTTGTTAAATATGTGAACATATTTTTAGTATATTATTCAAAAAAGACAATTTATTTTATATAAATATTATTCATTATGTACGCAAATAATATATATTGTTTTCAACAAATGCCTTTAATAAATATTTAAGTTAATTAAATTATTGTTATAATTATTTCAATTCTTAAAAATAATAAATTATGAGTACAACTTGTACTTCTCTTAATTAAACCCAGCTAATATTCTTAAATACTTTAATATTTATTAATAAATATTTTTTATAAATATGATGGTATATTAAATATTTTTCAATATTTATAAAATACTTTTTTACTAAATTGCATATAAAAATATTTCTACTTAAAAAAATCATATAAATCTAATCATACAGTAATGTATGTAAACGAATAATACGCATCATTCACCACATACATTTGAAGCGAATGCGCGTACATCCTCACCCATCAACAGATTTATCGCTACTGATCAGTTCGAAATGCGTGTATAGATAATGCTTGCCGAGAGATAGAGATCGTACCACTGTTGCCCACGCCTTAAGTGCAATTTTCAAACGAGATCTTCAAGCTAAAATTGCGTTTGTAGTTGAAAGACTCGTGCGCCACACGTGCAAACTAAAAATACGCACCATTCATCACATAAATTTACAGCGAATGCGCACGCATCCTCACCCATCAATAGATTTTTCAGCACTAAATTTGAAAATTTTGAATTTGCTTATGCAGAGAAATATAATTCATCATTCACCACTTGAGTGTTGCCGTATAAAAAAGTAAATTGATAGTAGCTTCGGTCTTTATTATTAATTACGCATCATAACAGCATTTAATGATATTATTTCAAAATTATATTAGAAATAATGTTTTATACGCTCAAAAAATATTTAAGAAAATATAAATCATTAAATAATATATATTCAAAACTGTTTTTTCTACTTTATAAAAAAATTCGCTTCTACAAAAGTTTGTTGCCGAACATAATAAATCAAAATACTTTAAAATTTATATGTAAAAATTAATTGAAATTATGAATTTCCTAAATACATATTAAATTATTAAGCAAACTAAACTGATTCAAATTGACTGATTTAAATGTTTATATATTAATTTATATATATATATATCATGTGATTATGTTGTTACAATATTTTTTTTGTTTACGTAATGTGATATTATTAACCAAATAAGGTACGCACAAGTTTTTTATATTATTAAAAGGAAGCATATGATAAGCAAGTAGTAAGAAATTAATATACTGCAACCCCAAAAGAGAGTAATTTGATGTTATCGTGGTACAATCACATGCAAAGAAGATTTTATATAGAACGGAAATTTAAATGAGCACAACACATTCGCTCCGAATACGGACCTTAACTTGCTCCAAATACGAACTTTAACTTATATGGCGTTTACATTGGCCGAAAATGGCTCATTTTGAATGAGCCATTTGAAAGTGTTTACATTCGTTGTAATTCGTTTGTTCTCATTTCAAGCAGCTTATTTTTCAACTTGCCTGTTGATTTGATTTTTGACCTGTGCCAAAAAAATATTGCATGATGGTTAAGTATGCTTTCAAACCTTACAATATAAACTTAAAACATATTTTTAACTTCGATTAATTACCTTTTGGGAAGTAGAAGTTTTAAAAAGAGGTGCATCATTTTCAAGAAAATGAAACCACCAAATATTTGTTTACTTTTTTTTTGTAAATATGTCAAAAATAACTTTCTTAAACTGTCAAAATGCCATGAAAAGCTATTATTTAGGGTATGTTCAATGGATTCCTTTGCATTTGGAACATATGTGGAATGCATTCGAACGGCTTTCATACAGAATGTGAGAAAATTGCTCATTTTAGCGCTTGAAATTTTATATGCAAGAATGAGCCATTCGTTACTCATTTTCGATTTTTGATCAAAATGAGCCATTTTCGGCCAATGTAAACGCCATATTACTCTTAAGAAAAATTTTATGGGCAATGAGTGCAACAGGGAGCATAATTTTGGTTCTCTGTTTTGATTTTTTGACAAAAAATTTAATTGCACTGCGCCATATTTAAAAAAAATTACCGCGCAAATGATTGTTAAAAAGTAGTAAAATTTATTTGCGCCTAATATTGTAAAGCAAAAAGTGAACAAAGTTATATAATCATACATTTTTTTTGAAATAATAATAAAGAAAGTAAATAATAATAATTATGATTTAAAAATACTGGTGTATATAATTTTTTAAAATAAATTATACATTTTCTGGTATACATTGTACAATAATTTATGCAATAATTTATGCTTTTAATTTTATATTATTTATTATTACTTGTAAATTCATATGATGTTAATGATTTACTTTTAATTAATAATTATCAATTAAATTAACATATAAAATATTTAAACTTGTATTTATAATTTTTTAAAGTTTTTGATTTATATTTTTGTAATATAAAACTTATATTTATTAAATTACAATGTAAATATTTTGTATATTATAGTTTTAATTTAATCTTATATGCAATAAAATAAAATATATAAAAATAGCGTATATGCCTCCTGGGGAACCGATCTCTTCGCTAAATTTATCCGGCGATGCGGATAATGCTGAAATGCACTGAAATGTCAAAATAAATACAAAAATTGTAAACAAATATCAGCTGTTGGACTTATAATTTAAATTTGATATTTAAAAGCACATACTTTAACAAAAAAATATTTAGCAATTGTGAAATATAAATTAATATTCAATTAATATACATTGGTGTGATTTATTGAAATATTTCGTCTTTCGTAATATTTATGTAAGCTTTTTATGGCAGAAATAACTCCGTACATGGTACCGAGAAGTCGATCAGATGGAATTTCGAGAGACATATGCGTACTTGTTGCATTACGCTTTTTTGCTCAAGATAAGTTGATAGTTAATAATTGCAAAAAAAGTGAATCAATTATGTTAATTTATAGGATGTTATCAGCGTTGTGTGGGCCAAAGCTTTTTATTATATGTTTCTCAGGCAGTTGTAAGTAGATGCGTTAAGGAGGTTGCAAATATAATGAATTGTCATTTTGTAGTAAAATACATCAAATGGCCCAGAACATTTCAGGAATTGTGCGCTATAAAAGAGAAGTATATCTTTGAAATCTTGTGTTAAAATACAATGTAGTTAATCGACAATTATTTGCAGATTTTATGAAAAGTTTCGGTTTCCACGGGTAATTGGTGCAATTGATTGCACTCATATAAAAGTTAAACCCCTAACTCAGCTATTGAGCATGTGTATGTCTGCAGAAAAGGAGGATATTCGCTAAAGGTTCAAGTGGTATGATTCAAATTTAATTTATTTACATACCATAATAATAGGCATTAATCTTAGGTATGCGATTATAATCTAAAAATTTTAGATTGTAATGCTCGCTTCGACGGCACTGCACATGATGCATCCATATGGCCTTTATAAAAGTTTAAATATATATTTATTTATATTGTTATTATTTTAATATTTTTTTATTAAAAATACTTTGTTATTATGACCAGTTTTCAACACTTTTTTTATTAATACTCTGGCCTTAGGTCGTTAATTTAACACATAAAAATTACACTTATAAATTTGTGTTAAATATTTAATTGTATTTTAGTTTTTATAAAAACTTATTTGTATTGCAAATATTTGGGTTCATTTGAAGACCATCTTCAGTGTTCAGAGGAAGAAGAACCTTAAAAAAAAACAATTATTTCACTAATAAAAAAAGCGCAAATTTCCGCATCACCCCTGAGGTATTGCACATAATGCGTTAAAAGCTTATGTTAACCCTATTCTATTTATTAAAATTATTAAGTGCATCCGCTAACAGTTTTATAGCATCTGTATGCTCTTTAGTGGCATGCACGCGTTCGTCCGCAATCTCCTTCTTTTGCTTGAGCTTTCTTTCCTCCAGCTCAAATTGACGTTCCTCAAGCCTCAACCTTTTCTCCTTTAACTCGACAAACTTTTGGTTCGTCTGTTCTAATGAGGGATTTCGCTTTCGTCGCTTGGCTGGACGAATAGGTCTTAAAGGCACACAACTCTCATCGTTGCCACCAGCAGATGAACCTGAACCGCTTGGCAGTTCCTTTCCCTCCTCAAGGTACTAAAATTAAACATTTATTAGATTAATAATTAAAAACTATATAAAAAATAAAAGCGATAATAAGGCATTCGCCTCTAATACTTACCTCTAAATCATAAAAACATGAAATGTGACTTTCAAAGTGCATTGCTGGCTCGCAGATATCTTTCATGCCTTGCACCGCTACTGGATGCATTACTGCAATAATCCGTTCATCTAGATCAGTTAAATCCTTAATGCCAACGGACGCATTTCCAATGGAGTGTTTTATTTACAATTTTTCAATATGGTTTCTACAACTATAAAATTAAAAGCAACGATGTTATTTCACATGTTTTCATGTATAATTCTTTTATATATATATATATATATATATATATATATATATATATATTGTTTTATATTGTTTGTAAACGATAATATGTATATGTATATATATATTATTAACTGTTAACATATCTTATTTTACTTTTTAACTACTTACTTCATGTTGACCCATGCCTTCTTCCAATCATTACCATCTTTAACTGCTCCACCAAGGGCATTTAAAATAGCAGCTAGAGAGCTCCACTGTTTATTAAGACTTCGCGCACCATCATCCGACACAAATCTGTCATGAGCGAAATCTTTATGCTCTTCCATATGCTGGACCAGCGCTTGTTTCTGCTCATTGCTAATTCGTTTTGACTTTAAGTCCACGAATTCTATCACAAATATCTGAAAATTAAATAATAAATAAAATATATTCAATATTATATGTATAAATATATATATAATTATTCATTTTGTTCACTGTTTCACTTGCAATTCATTTATTTTTGGTACAATTTCAAAAATGAAAAATAAAATACATTTGTTTACATTTGCTGAACACCAAACGCAGTCTCACTATATTACTGCCACAAAATTTTTATAATATTAATTATTTTATTTCATTTCACTTTATATGCAAAATTTATTTCTATCACAATAACTAAATTAATAAATAAATATGAATATTGTACTAAATACGTACAAAATAATTGCTCAATTTGTTTAAAAAATAATATATTCACTTTTAGCGACAGCAAAAACCTAGTCGCCAAAAATAATCAAATTAGGAGAAATTTTAGTCGTTTTTAACGAAATTTAGTGATGGCCAATTTAGCAGAATACGAAATTTGGCGATTTAGCGATTTTTCCGGAAAAATCAGCTGTTCTTGAAAGTTGAGAAAATTAGCGAATGGAAATTAAGCGTAACGAGTTAGCAGAATTGCAAAAGTCGCTAAAATGCATTTAAAGAATTTTAGCGATGGAGTTTTAGAGGAATCGGCCTGTTGGATACGCTCACAAAAGTATTAAACAAAAATTATCTGAATAAAGTAGCATTGTTTACTAAAGATATGATATTCGAATATATTGATGAAAAAGAATTAATGAAAATATTTAATTGCATGCAAGAAAAAATAAAGAATAAAGGTCAGCAAACACCTATAAGTATATTATTATATAATCCACCAAGGAATGTCGTGGATAAATCGGAACAAGTTGAATTAATAAAACATTACCATACAAGTATTCACGGAGGTCACACCGGAATAAGAAGTACTATAGCTAAATTGAAACAGAAATACTTATGGAAAGGAATGAAAGAAATGATAAAAAATAATATTTTAAAATGTGCATCATGTAATAAAAATAAAATAGTAAGACATCATAAAAAGAAATTTGTCGTAACTAATACTCCAACTTCACCGTTCGAAGTAATACAGATGGACACTGTAGGTCCACTAAGAATATCTAATGGGTATAGATACATTCTAACAATACAATGCGAATTAACTAAATATGTAGTCGCACTTTCAATGCAAATAAAAAAAGCTCAAGAGATAGCAAAAACCGTGGTAGAACAATTTATTTTTAAATATGGTAATGTTGAGAAAATAAAAACAGATAGAGGTACAGAATTCCTCAATGAATTAATAACTGATATATGTAGCTTATTAGGTATAGAACATATAAAATCCACTGCTTATCATCACGAAACAGTAGATTCTATAGAAAGGAACCATAGAGTATTAAACGAATACATATTATTGTTTACAAACAATTTTGATTGGGATACTTGGATTCCAAAGTATACATTCTCATATAATATTACACCTCATTGTGTAACAAATTATTCACCTTTCGAATTAGTATATGGTAAAGTCGCGAATCTTCCAAACGAGATAATAGAAGGTAGAAAATTTTATAATTACGATTCGTACATTGCTGAGTTAAAAACAAAACTACAGCACGCACATAAAGCAATAAACGAGATATTAGTAAAAGAAATATATTCTCAAAAAATTAAACAAAATGCTAATGCATCAGAAAATTTATTTAATGTAGGAGATTTAGTTTATTTAAGAGTAGAAAATAGAAGGAAACATGAGAATCCATATCATGGTCCATATAAGATAATTGATAGAAACGGCGTAAATTCCGCTATTCAAATTAATGACAAAATAAAGATAGTTCATAATAACAGATTAAAGAAAAATTCACAAACAATGTAAATATTTTCTCTGAAAAAGAAAATAAAAATTATTATATAATTTATTTATGAAATTATTTTTAAGAAATAAAAATTGTCAATGTCAAGTTTTCAAAATTTAATCATAAAAAATTTTCTTTATTGTATAAATAGGGAAGAGGTGTTGTATATAGCGCAACAAATGTAAACAAAAACAAATAATAAATTATTTCATTTATTTTTGAAAGTGCTTATGCACAAATTATGTTATTTTATATTAACTAATGTAATATGTAATGCGATCGCACACGAAAGAACCACCGCAATGCAAATAGAATATTTGGTCATAGCAAGTATGCAATTGCTACTTGACACTTTTGTTTTCTGTGCTACTATTCTGCACATGTCGATATGACACACTTGAATGTGTCATAATATTTTCTAAGCATTGATGTGGGTCACCCTTTTTAGTGCCGCCGCAATTAAAATTATTAGGAAAAATGTTTGTAAATTATAGTAAAATATTTCGTATAAATAGTTTGGAAAATTAATAATAAAATTCAGATTTTAAACTGAGCTCGAATAGCTTAAACAAAAGTGTCACAAATTATTTTGTCTCGGCATTCTCGGATGCCTACTAATGAGCAGATTTCTTCCTGCTGAATTAAAAAGAGAAGAAATATATTATATCGAATGAAAGTCTGATTCAAAAAAATAATAAATTTATATTTGAACAAATTTATTATTACATGGCAATCCTGCCTGTATAGTTAATAAATTTATTATTACAAATAAAATTTATTATTAGATGGCGATCCTGCCATAATTTATTATTGTAATAAATTTATTATTACAATATTATAAGTAATATATACTTTTATGGTATTTATTTACGAGTATTTATATATCTATCTAAATAAAAACTTGTATAGTAAGTAGTTGAAAAAAAATCGATTCCTCAACTGTGATAAAAATTTTGTATGTATAGCGCTGCTTGAACTAAAGGCCATACCTTCGGCGGCCTATAAAACTTGTATGGAAAATTGGATCAAGCGTTGGCATAGATGTATTGCCGCAGGAGGAGAGTACTTTGAAGGCGGTAATAAATAAAATTATTAAAAATTAAAATTTTGCGTTTTTTTTTAAATTCTCCTTTTTTGATCAAAGGGTATATAACGGAAAACATATGAGAATCATGATTCAGTTCTATTTAAATATGAACTGCATGCATATGAATACGGCATGTTGACTTGCCGAAGCGGTTATGTTTGCGCTTTTGTTTTTTTTTTTTTTTTAACGAGGTGTAAAGCATCGAAAGCCTAGTCAGTGCGAGACTTTAACTCACTAAAGTCACCCCGATGTCCGACGGTTAGTCCTCTCGTTATCACCGATTTGGTATTTCGTCAAGAGGCCGTCCAGAGCACGAAGCTCAAACGTCAGTTTTTGTCGTCATTTCATTACATCCATTATCGTTGCAGTGATACATGCACTGCAGCTGTTCTTCTTTCCTCTTCCTGCAGTCGCAAACGCCGCATAATTTGAGTTGCGAATGTTTTAACTGCCTTCCATTTAAAGCTACTTGAGCACATTTCGTGTACAATGCTGTTAGGAGATGGTAGATATCCTAGGGCTTCCACAAGTATTTCCCGTTCTTCATTAAACCGTTCGCAGCTAAAGGCTACATGTTCTGCACTTTCTACGACGTTGTGGCAGTTTGGGCAGTATGGACTATCTGACAGATGAAATCTGTAGAGATATTCTAAAAAGCCTCCGTGGCCGCTCAATATTTGAGTCAGATTATAGTCAATTTCACCATGTTTTCTTAACACCCATTCCTTAATGTTAGGTATAAGTGTATATGTCCAACGTCCCTTAGAGGACTGCTCCCATCTTTGCTGCCATTCTCTAAATGAATATGCGCGTTCGGCAGATTTTTGATCTATCGTAGGTGTTATGCCTTGCCTGCCATAAAGACGGCTTAACTCTTTTGCATGTATGTCAACTGGTATTTTTCCAGCAATGACGCAGATTGCATCATCAGAGACTGTTCTATAAGCGCAGGCAACCCGTAACGCACTGCGTCTGTATATTTGTGCTACCAGACGTAGCTGATGCTTTTTTGCTGCTGCCCATATAGGAGCAGCATAAAATATAATAGAGTCCGTTACAGTAGATAAAAGACGCCTTCTTTCGCCCTGAGGACCACCTGTATTAGGAAGAATTCGCGTTAATGCACTATTCACTGCCGCTGCCTTAGAGCTTACTGCTGTAAGGTGCTGTTTGAAGCTCAGTCTTGCATCGATTATGACTCCAAGGTATTTTATTGCTTCTTGTGATAATATTTCATGCCCGCCAATTATGATTTTCATCTTCTTTTTCTGCTTTCTTGCGGTTATCAGTACTGCTTCTGTTTTTTGCACCGCCAACTCCAGTCCTGCATTTTTAAGCCATCGTTGTACTCTTGCTGCTGCATCGTTACATTTTGCTTCTAAGTGATCAAGCTTTTTGTCAACCACCACTAGTGCGATGTCATCAGCGTATCCAACTATTGTCACTTTATCAGGAAGTCTTATTTTCAGGATTCCATCGTACATAGCGTTCCACAATGTGGGTCCAAGAACTGATCCTTGTGGAACCCCGCCAGTGACCTCATATTGTTTTCTACCTTTTTCTGTGTCATACTGCAGTATTCTATCGTTAAAGTAACTGCAAATAATGCGTACCAAATAATCAGGTACTTTCAGAGTTTTGAGTGCCAGTAGTATCTCAGACCAATTTGCTGAATTGAAAGCATTTTTAATGTCTAGCGTGATGACTGCACAGTATTTCATTGCAGTATATCCTCCGCTGGTAGCTTCCTTTGCAATATTTGTTACCGTTCTAATCGCATCTACCGTTGATCTAGTGCGCCGGAAACCGTACTGCTTATCAGAAAGGCCATTGGGACCTTCCAGATACTGCTGGAGACGTTCACTTATTATTCGTTCAAAAACCTTCCCTATTGTGTCCAACATACATAGAGGCCTATATGCAGATGGTTGGTTAGGTAGTTTTCCTGGTTTAAGCAACAGTACCAGTCGTTACAACTTCCATCGCGTTGGAAAAATACCTTCAGTAAAACAGGTATTATATATATCCACGAATATGTGTGGTTTCGCTCGTACCGCAGCCTTGAATAATACATTGGGGACTCCACCCGGCCCCGACGCCTTACCATCTTTTATACGACCCAATGTTTGCATCACTTCTTCTGATCTCACTGGTGGTATGTTGGTATTCCAATTCACCTGAAACACCTGATCGGCCATTTTCTCCTGTGGGGGAAAAAGTGCCAGAACAACTTCCTTCAATAGAATTGGGCATGTGGGCTGTGGGGACCTCGGTCCTTTTACTTTCTGCATGACGGTTTTGTAAGCCAGACCCCATGGATCTTCATCAGCACTATCTCGCATTTGCTTAAAGCATCGATTTTTGCTCTTTTCAATTGTTTTTTTAAGATCATGTTTTCGAATGCGATACTCTGCATATAGCTCATTAAAAGAAATATGTCGTCTAGCTCTTTGCGCTTTTCTTCGTGCTTTTATACAGGCTCTGCGAATATCAGCTATCTCGCTAGACCACCAATAAACTGGTTGTCGTTTGCCACTATATTTGCATCTTGGCATAGATATATCACACGCAGTTTCCATTTGTATAGCTATTTGTTCCGCCATGTCTTCTGCTGTTGTTTTGGAAACTTGAGCATCCTCCGATACTATAGAAAAAGCTTCTGAATTGAAGGCTGATGTTTTCCATTTTTTCTGCCGCACACTTTTGTCTACTTGCTGGTTTACCGTGCTGCGTACTTCCAACATTAAAGCCCTGTGGTCACTGTGAGTATAAATGGATTCCTCTACTTTCCATTTTGTGTTGTTTGCTGTGACGCGATCTGCAAAGGCCAAGTCAATTATTGATTTACCTCTGATGCAGTCGAATGTATAAACTCCAGGAGTATTCAGCAATACCAGATCCATTGCGGAAAATGTTTCCTCTATCAGTCTTCCTCTTGGGTTTGTGTATGTTCTGCCCCAAGTTGTTGACCAAGCGTTAAAATCTCCAGTAATGAGAATAGGACGCTTCCCTCGTAATTCTAGTTCCATTGCAACCATCATACGCTCAAAGTCTTCTAGAGACCATCTTGGTGGAGCATAGCAGCTCACCTGATACAGACCTTCCATCTTCGCCCATGTATACCCTTTGTCTAGCATGAGCATCTTACTTTGGGGAATTTTTCCACCTACTATCCAAATCGCCGCTTGTCTCTCTGCATCTGTCAGCAAGTTATGCGACTCAATATTACCGTATGGTTCCGATATTAGAACTACATCTACATTATTTTCGGCTACTGTTTGCCAGAGAAGGTTTTGGGCAGCTTTACAGTGATTAATATTTAGCTGTAATATTTTCATGTCTTTTTCCTATGCACTGCTTCTTGATATCGCGGACATTTTGCGCTGCCAGCCGCATGCGGTCCTTCACATAACACGCATTTTTCAGTATTTGTACAGTTTGCAGCCTGGTGACCTTCCTTACCGCACCGTCTGCAGAGTTTCGTCCGATCCGGTGCTTTACAAGCGGATGCTATGTGATCATACGCCCAACATTTGTAGCATCTTTTTGGCGATATAACCTCCGTTATTCGGCATCGAACCCATCCTACCTTAATGTGTCCAAGTGCTAACAACTTTTTGGCATCATCCGCAGGCAATGACACATATGCAGATTGTGTGCCTCCATAGGTGGTACGTTTACTCCTTATGGATGATTTGTCCGGTCTTTTTACCTGCGCTTGCTCGCCGATTGCATCAAGTAATTCTTCATCTGTGTTCAGGTTTGTTATTAGGTCTCTGCACTGAATTGTAACGGTATGTGTTTTAAGGTTGACCGTTGCAATAGATTCCAAGGCTTTTTCAATAGCAGAGTGGTAATCGCTTGACCCTCTATCTTTGCTCCTCTTTAGTTCTATGAGAAGCCCTCCATTTTGAGTTGTCAGCATGGTTCTGACATTTTCGTTCAGAGTTTTGAGCTCTCCACTGTCCTTCACTTTCTTTAGTATGTCCGCATATGTCGTACCATCCACCTTTTTTTCTATAAGAATTGCATCCGCTTTAGGTCTAATAGATCTTATCTTTGTTTTGACTTTCGACGATTTTTCTTTTTTCTCGACTTTTGTCCATTTGTCAGACGGCATCTGCAGAGAAACTGTGTCAGCTTTTGTTTTCATGGCAGTGGGAGTATTGCGTACCTGCTCCGAGCCTTTAGGGCTTAAGTCCACTCTCTTTCTTTTTTTTGGTGGTATTTCTATCGTTTCAGTCACTGTTGCTGGTAGCTTGCGTAACTGTTTTAGACCATCGGTTGGTCTGGATTTTCTTCTTTCGGAATATAGCTCCGTACTAAGCTCCGTGTGGGTGCGTTTGATTATGCTGCACATTTTCCTGATATCACCGTGAACATTGCGGCGTGGTTCGACATATTGTATTAGTCCATCTATTTCTTTTCCTAAGCGTTCAATTAATTCAATTATGGTAAGTACGGACTCGCCTGTAGCCATTGCTGGTAATATCAGTCTGTGCTGCGATTTTTAGTTTCGCCATGCTGTGGTGACATTTTCAGTGGGAGCGGTTTCTGATTCTCCATTGTTTGGTTGCAACTCTGTCATTGTTAGTGCACCTTTTGTCGCACAACTGCTCGGTGCTACTGTTTGTGAAGGGGACCTCTCACTCCCGGAGTTCCTCTTCGGTGGTTCTATTTGTGTTGTGTGCATTATTGTGCTATTTGTTTCTTCTTCGTTTTTATGTTCTGTATTATATATATTTATCATTTTATATGGGCCCCAACTCGCAGCCGCTATCTCCGCACGTGCATGTAGTTTCCGTAAGTCTTATGGTTATCTATGTAAACAGGGAGGCCACACGAGGGTTGACTCTGGTCCTTATGGGATCCAGAGTTCAGAGCCAGACTTCAATCCGGAATTAATAGGGAGTACTCTCAACCTAACCTACAAGGTCATCAACCAGATGACTACGCGCATTGAGCGCTATGTGAGACTTGCCAAGTTTTCGTGGGACGGAAGAGGCTACGGATCCTTCTGAGAGCCATTTTTGCAAGATTTCACTCCACATACTCAGGTAACAGAGATTCGCAACCCCAGCCCATAACAAACTGTGTTTTTAACCTTATTTTTCGGTATGCCATAATCAGGAACCTTACCGGTCTCGGTTCCGATGCCTAACCATAGGCTTGTACAATATTTTTCTACATTCCAACGGTGGTGCTTCAGAGCCATTTTAAGAATGGTAATAGGCGCTGTACACTGCCATCTCCCACGGTGGTGCATTAGCCGCCCCCAATAAAGAGACTGTCGCTGTGCACATTTAGATCCCACGATGCCACCCCGGGGTGGGGGACGCTTACTGAAAGACGGCGTCTACTCGTCTTGTCACAGGGACTTCAATGGGTCATTGTGATCTTTCACACCACAACCTCCGACGCCTGCCGGAATTTAGTCGCCTTTTACGACAGGCATGCCTTACCTCGGGAATATTCTAACCCCTATCCCGCAGGGGTAGGTTATGTTTGCGCTGTGTGCAGCTCAGATGACCGTACATTTCTGTCACAATTCGTCTCTCCCCTTTTAACAGTACTACCCACGAATTTCTGTCGCTAGGTGTGCGCAATAGTTGGCCGCACAATTATACGTGTTGCTTGATCAATGCAATTTTTGAAAAAAGTTCCTTTAATGTTGTGAGAATGTGAAAAGTTCTATTTATTCTATATTGATATAATATTTAACTTGTATATATATATATGTAAGGGTGGCAACACTAGTAATAGAGTTAATGTAAGAATGAAAGAGATGAGAGTGCAGGCAGCAGTAGTAGTCGAAGTTGAGCGTTCGTACAGTGAAGTCGCAAAGTGAAGTCGTAAAGTAGTAGCGGTCGGCCAGTTGATTTTTTTTGAACTTAATTATATCTAAAATAACTATTTTGTATTTACAATTTTACTGTAATAATAAATAACTTTTGTCTTACATACTATAGCTTATCTTACATTTGGGGGCTCAACCAGTGAAACGTAAAAAGAGCAATAACATTCAATAAAAAACGAAACTAAAAATAACGGGAAATAAAAGTGCGTTTTCGTGAATGTGGATGGATGGATAAAGACGAAGAGACTAAGCATTCAGCAGACACAAAAAGAGAGTACGAAACGCGATCGAAAGTAAAAGAGATAAATTCAAAAGAAATGGCAACAAGTGATGAACTGAACGAACTAATAAAGTTGCTTGCACAAAAAATTGATAATGACAATAATAAAGGAGCAATATCAATTGATGATTTTGCAAAAATTATTAGTGAATTTGATGGTGAATCAATACCGGTAAATAAATGGTTTGAAATATTTGAAAATAATGCAGAGGCATATGAACTTACAGAGAAACAAAAATATGTGCAAGCAAAAAACAAAATAACCGGTTTAGCTAAGTTATTCTTAGAAACGGAAAACGTGAATAATTATAAAGAGTTAAAATGCGTCTTAGTAGGAGAGTTTAAAAAAAATTATGACAGTACAGAAATACATAAAATGTTGACGAAAAGACAGAAGAAAAGTAGCGAAACATTTTATGAATATATGTTGCAGATGAAAAAAAATTGCGCAAATAAGTGATATTGAAGAAAAAGCAATAATTCGGTACGTTGTTGACGGGCTAAAGATTCCTAGAAGTGCTAAACAGCAATTACACAGTGCAAAAAACTCTAAAGAACTACAAGAACAATATGAAATTTATGAACATATAAATGAACAAAGTACAGAACAAACAAATATAAATGCGAACGGTAGAAGTAAAAAGTTGAAATCTGAGCATTGCTATAACTGTGGCTCGACGGAGCATAAGAAGAGTGAGTGCAATGAACCGACTAAATGTTTTAAGTGTAATAAGAATGGACATATTTCGAGAAATTGTCCTTCAAATGAAGTAAAGAGCAAAAAGGAAATAAATATTATAAAAAATGCAACGGAACGTTGCGAAAATATGATGACAGTGGCGCAGATATTTCAGTAATCGAGCAGAAAATTGTGAAAACATTAAACGGTGAAATACAAGAATGTACAAAAAACATTTCGGGTTACGGTAATAAAAAAACAATGGCTATCGGTAAAATTGTAACACAAATTGAAGTAGACAATTTGGCATGTAAACATACTTTCGTGGTGGTACCAGATAATCTATCAAAGTATAAGATTATATTGAGTTTTGATTTTATTGGAAAATGTAAATATTCTTACGACCTAAACGGTTATGAGTTTATCAACTTCTTAGAAGAAAACGAGGACTGTTCGCTTTTAAATATCGATCTTGAGGATAATAAAGTAGAAGTACCTACAAAGCATAAAAACGAGATCGAACAGCTTATCAAAAAATATACACCAGAAGCAAATGTAATAAGCCCTATCAGTATGAAAATAGTGTTAACCGAAAATAAAATTATCAGACATCCACCGCGTCGTTTCCCAATTTGTGAACAAAAAATTGTCCGTGAACAAGTTGAAAAATGGCTACAAACAAATGTTATAAGAGAATCCAAGTCAGAATTTTGCAGTCGAATAGTTGTTGCAGATAAAAATGGTGACGTTAAAAGAATTTGCATCGATTATCGGTATTTAAATAAGATTGTACAAAAAGATGTTTTTCCAGTCCCATTAATGGAGGAAGTTATTGAAACTTTGGAAGGTGGACGAGTTTTTAAAACGTTTGATTTAGAAAATGCATTTTTACATGTTCCCATAGAGGAAAGTTCAAAACATTACACAGCGTTTATGGTAAAAGACGGCGTTTATGAATTTAACAGAGCACCGTTTGGATTTTGTAATTCGCCAGCCATATTCTTACGGTTCGTTAATCATATCTTTCGAAACTTAATTAAAGAAAACATAATGCAAATGTATATGGACGATGTCATTATTTATTCCAAAAACGAGGATGAGGAAATTCAAAAATTAAAAAAAGTGTTACAATCAGCAGAACGACATGGTTTAAATATTAAATGGAAAAAGTGTAAATTTTTACAAACGGAAATTGTTTATTTAGGACTGCGGATCGCAAACGGATATATTTCACCTGATGTGGAAAAGTGTGTCGCGATCAAAAACTTTCCGGTGCCAACAAATATTAAGAAACTCCAATAATTTCTGGGTTTGACAGGCTATTTCAGAAAATTTGTACAGAACTATGCAGTAATAACAAAACCACTTACGGATCTACTCAAAAAAGATTCTGTTTTCAAGATTGGTTCAACAGAGCAAACATCGGTAGAGCAAATAAAAAGCATTCTCCCTAAACGGTCAGTTTTAAGAATTTTTTCTCAAACAGCAGCAACAGAATTACATACAGATGCCTGTAAAGACG